TGTTTTTTTTTTTTTTTTTTGGTGAGACAGGGTCTTGCTGTGTACTTCAGGCTGGCCTTGAACTCTCTATGCAACCCAGGCTGGCCTTGAATTCATGGTGATCCTCCTGCCTCAGCCTCCTGATGCCGGAATTACAGGTGTCTGCCACCACACCCAGCTAATCAGCAAATTTTTGAGTGCCTACTGTTTTGTGAGGAATTGGAGATGTAGTTGTGAATTTGAGGATCAAGGTTCCTACTTTGATGGAGCTTTCATAGCCTGAAAGATAGGTAGTAAACAAGTAATACATGAATAAAATAAGTGTGAAGTGCTATGAAGATAGCAAGGTGAAGTTATAATGATTGGGCATCACTGGGTGACACAACTACTTATTTGAGACTGGTCAGAGAAAGAATGAGTTGAGACTTGGTTGATAAGAAAGAGCCAGCCATACAAGGAGTTCTGGGCAGAGAAAATGGGAAATGATGAAGGTCAAGATCTCAGAAAGCTTGATACATTTGGGAAACACTGCAGAAGACTAGAGGGGCTAAAGCATGTGGGAACTGGGGGTGGGGGTAAGAGAATGATACAAGATGAAATTGAAGAGGACCAAGAGCAACTGTTTCTAGAAACTATAGTCTGTGGACTGCATTTTGAAATACCTACTAGATTGTTCTCTGTGGCTGTTTGACTTCTATTCACCTCTAGGACAGTCTGTTAGGGGGGCCAGCTTGTTCTCATACTTCAGTCTGTGGAAAGAAGTGTGGATTTTATTCTAAGCACAATGATTGTGCATTGTGCCGCTTAGGGATATTATACTGTGCTTCCATGCTGAAAACAGAAACTGCTTTTAATAAACAGAGTATGTGAAGCCTGGTGTGGTGGCACACACTTATAATCCCTGCACTTGGGAGGCTAAGGCAGGAGGATCTTGAGTTTGAAGCAAGCCTAGGTTACATAGTGAGACCCTGTCTTGAAAAGAAACAGTATGTGATAGGTATGATGTGGTGTGGACAGAGGCCATTAAAAGGCTGCTAATGAGTAGCTGCATGTTTGGTGTGATAGTGAAAAGGCAAGGAAGCAAGCTGAATACAGAGTATATGTGTACCAGGCAGTGTGGAGTCACAGACATGAGTCTGGGCTTTATTACATGGAAGTCACAGTGGTCCTCATACTCCTAGGCTATTTCACAACCAGTAGGGGTGGGGTGTGTAGATCTAATCTGGGGTGTATGGATTTCTGAGGCAAGTTATACAACCAAAGAGGAACTGAACTACTAAATTCAGTGGCCATGGGAAAAGGCTGGGGTTTTGTTTTTTTCTTCTGTTTTGAAAGAAAGTTTTTTGGTACACATTTCAAGGGCTTTTCCCTTTTCTCATCTTGGTGAATGGTTCTTCCCCAAGAGCTGCGCTGTTACCTCCCAGATCTAGTTAACACAGTGGATGTTTCCTGAACCTGCAAGGCGATACTTCTTTCCCACCAGAGGAGATAGTAGCTGATGTAAACTGAAATTCTTATTTTCTTACCTTTCTGCAGCTCTGGACTATTTAGATTACCATATAATGTTATAAAATGCAGGTGTGATTAGCCTGAGTCTTAATTGAAAAGCAGGATCATATCTTACTATTTATGAGAAACTGCCTTGAGAATATTAAGTTTTTTGGTGGGACCTGGGAAATTTATATTGAGTCCATGAATCTAGAAATTTCAGTTTAGAGAATAAACTATATTCACATATATCCTCTCACACTGGGTTCTTGTTATTTTTTTTTAATGAGTATAATGCATTTACTGTAAAATTTACCTTTTAAAATATACAATTTGTGGATTTTAGTAAATTCAGAGCACTAGACGACCAGCACTACCAACTCCAGAGCATTCTCATTACCATAGAAAGAAACAGCAGGTCAGGGATTTAGCTCAGTTGGTCTGCCGCCTGCCTGTACCAAAAAAAAAGAAAGAAAGAAACATTAGCGGTCACTCCTGTTCTCTCCTCACCCATGGCAACACTAATTTAGTTTCTTTGTGGATTTGCCTTTTCTGGACTTTGTATATAAAGGGAATACAACATGTGGTCTTTTGTGTCTGGCTTTTTTTTACTTGGCATGTTTTTAAAGTTTATCCGTGTCATAGCATGTATTAGTGCTTCATTCCTTTCTGTGGCCAAAAGTATTCCATTGTATGGCTAGACCACAGTTTGTTCATTCATCAACGGGATTGTTCTCACTTTTTGACTGTTAGGTATAATACTGATGTGAACATTCATCAGAGTTGTTACATGAACACTTTTTCAATTTTCTTGGTCAGTTGTTGGGTCAGTTTACATTGTTTTGAGGTTACTTGGGTTTAATCCTGTCTACAGGCAAGGGAAGGCTGAATGACATCAAGATTCCTTTAAACTGATGGAGTCAGTGCCCCCAGTCCCAGTCAAAGGCATAAGTTTTTAATGGTGGAATCTGGTACTAACCATAGGACGACTGGATGGGAGAGTCCTGAGCAGGAGGTAGGAGTCCTGGACTCTGCCCTGGCCTCCTTTGTGCAAAGCTGCTGTCTCCTCTGGACCTCATGTATGTCTGGCATCAGTGGGGATAGAGGAATGAGCACTGGACAGGAGTCAGTGGCCTGGGCTTAGTCCCAACACTGCCACTGATTCAGTGCATAGCCTGAGCAGATTCCTTTGGCTTTCTTGGTCTGTTTTCCATGTGTCACATGTGAAATTGAGATTTGGACTTCACGGTTTCTAAATTCCAAGTTGAAAATGCTGTGGTCTAGTACTTGCCTATAAGGCGACTTTTGCTAGTGTGCCTATAAAACAAAAATTTTTTTTCTTTTGCGTAATCATAGTCCCTGTGATCTTTCCAAGTTTTCTTGTGTTGGTGGTGTTGTCTGTCTGATCTCTGGAGTTGCCCCACTTGGCATATACTCTGCAGGAGCCACTGTGTCCTTGGAGCTGAGATGCTAACCCCAAACCGTGGTTAAATGTGTTTCTC